CGCCTTCCCCAAAGCGGTTAAAGTTCGGGTGTTGTACATGCCAACGCGACTCTCGCTTGCCGTGAGGCAGGGCTGATCATCAAAACAATGTCATCGCAGCGTGTACGCGTCTAATTAAGGGTCTTATCCATCTTGACCCCGATCCATGCCCCCTCTCACCTTCTAAACTCTTCTTCTGCAACTGATTCATTTGCGACAACCCTTCAAAATGGTAGGGGTCTACCAACGCATCATAGAGGTTCATCAGTGAGGCTAAGAGACCAAAACAGAGCTTCAAGTCCCTGCGCCGGCTAGCTGCCGACCACGCAGCCCTTCATTCCGAACTACCGCCAAACTACCTCTTTCCGGCAAACTACGACAGCGATGACCTGACGCACCTCGACATCCTCCTTGCCGGTCCCGAGGGCACGCCATACGCTGCCGGTGTATTCAAGCTCCACCTCGAGATCCCAAAGACCTACCCATCCGCTCCGCCTACTGCACATTTCCGGACGAGAATATGGCATCCCAACGTAGAAGAGGCGACGGGCGCCGTTTGCGTGGACACTTTGAAGAGGGATTGGCAATCGACCTTGACTTTGAAAGACATCCTCGTTACGATATCTTGCCTGTTGATTCAACCGAACCCGGCGTCAGCGTTGAACTCGGAAGCTGGCGCGTTGCTACAAGACGACTGGGAGGCTTTCTTCAAAAGGGCAAAGTTGATGGTGTCGATACACGCTCAAGTTCCAAGAGATCTCAAGCAAAGCGTAGACGAAGCCAAGGCAAGGGGTGAAGAAAAGTCATCGGAGAAGGAAAAAGAACATGAGAGGATGATGGAGAGACCGAAGGGCAAAAGCAGGATGAATGAAGGAATCTCTAGCATCACCAGGGCTAGTGCGCGGAAAGCAAGGATAAATGCCGCAGCAAAGTCTCAGTCTGAACAGGAAGAGAATCGAGAGGCACGGCGAGAGTCTGAAGATTGGATCCCGGCGCCCGCAATCCCAACGTCGACGCAAAGCCTGTATGCAACGACCATGGGCCCTCCCTCGACCGATTCCCTTGGTCTTGATTCTTCAGGGGCGCAGTTTCCGAACACGCCTTTGAACAATAACGGCCAGACTCCTGCGTCGGCACCGAGGGGCCCAGCTCGCGCGTTGCGTCGGAGCCACCTGGAGCTGCAATCTTCGTGCCAGACTCCTCAGCCTCAACGATCTCAGCAATCTTCAGCAAGCCCGCAGCACTCGATCGCCAGCTCATCTTCGAACGGCTCTTTGAACACCCGTCTCAATACCCTATCATTTGGATGGTCACCCGACAAAGCCACGAAGAAGAAGCTTTCGCCAGACGCGGAGAGGAGAGTCAGACACGAAAGTCGCAGATTCAAGGCTGCTGGCTACTGCTTGAAAAGATATAATCGCGGCGCGTTTGGTCCGCGGCAGGGTCTCAAACGCTTGTGATTTGGGCTCTTCTTCGAGTCTCTGGCGTCTCTTTGGACTATCATTTCATTCAGTCATGGAGTTAAACGCGTGGTGTGGCTTTGGTGCATAGCGCTGGCGTTTGGGAGTTTTTGCCTCCTCACAGCACAATTTGCTTGGTCTTGAGAACAATTGAGAAGGGGCAGATATGGCATTCTTTGCTTCTCCCTTCTTCTTAAGTTGGGTAGAAAAGTAGAAAGTAAACTGTTGAATGAACCGTACCATGTCAAGCTTTGCATCCGCGATTTGAATGATCCAAAGTGACATCCGTCCCAGGCCCGGCCACTACTTTCCAACCAGATTTGACGACTCCCAACACCCGACAACTCGGACAACACCCTCGACTCCCAGAAATGTTTAGCATTGGGAATGAGAACGGACCAGCGTCAAAATGCATCTTTACTCACAGCGTACTGCCTGAGCACATAGACGATCGTCACCCACCGACAAAGAAAAAACCTTTCGCGACCATAACCGAGCTGCCGTTTGCTCACACAGCAAGTCTCCCACGCCCATCAACGTACGGACTGCGCTGACTATCTGCCCAGGCTGACCTGATACTATCTCAAGAGGTTCATCGGGCATTCAAGCAGCAGCTCGACGGAGATGTCGGGTCTTTTCATTACGCCCGCGTCTACATGACTCTTGGCGAAATTGTCGACGGCGATTTCTTCAACGACTATGTCAAGACTGGTGCGGCCGCTTTGCCTTCAAATTCACCGCACAAGCTAATGGCACTGTAGGCAATATTCTCATGATCGCCGAAGGAAGGCGTGGCATCGACAACACATTCTCCCTTCGCGAAGGTGCGTTCCCGGCAGGCAGAACAATCGTTGCCGACTTGCTTTTCCCGAGTCTGCGTTCTAAGTTGCGTCCACAGGTGTCTTGAGGCTAGATCTTGATCGTCCGACCTATGAGCGATGCGGTCTTGATGGCAAGCCTGTGCGCCATCCGGGCAGAAAGCATACAAAAGAGCGATATGGTAAGCGCACCCAAGGGATTCACACAGGCGAGCCGACGCTAATGAACGCAGCCGTCGAAATCGAGCTCCGCAAGCCCTCGATGCTGCATGGAAAGAAGGGCTTCGAGCGAATCGTTTGGGCATTCAAGAATGTGTTGAACCACTCTCTAGCCTGGCTTTTCCACGATCTGAACTCGCCGCGCGAAATCAGAGGTAGACGTCCTCACGTCATTGGCTTCTATTCTAGAAAGACATGTTTCTGACGGACAGCAGGCCCGATATCCAAACACCAACCGCACTGCTTCACAGCAAGTCCTGAGGCAACCGTCATGCCGCATACCAAGCTCCCAGCCCTGACCTGTATCCCGGACCTCTGCGACCCGGAGTACGGCGCCGAGGTGCTCGAGTGGTTCGGCATGGTCAGCCTATCCTCGCCGCGCATCGAAGCGTACGACAATGTCGACTCGTTCCTGAGCCGCTACGAGGTACCCATGCCGTACAAAAGAGACGGCGACCCAGACAGCCCGGCCGTAGAGACGCTTGTGCGGCTGAGGTGGCGCGGCCTTGTCCCTGCTCCGTTCCTGCTGCGGCTGTGGCTAGCGACGCGCGAGGTCGTGGGAGAGCGCTGGATGGCGCTCAGCGTGGCAGGGTTCCAGCAGGATGCGTACACAATGCTCGGAGTTGGCGCCAGGGATGTTCTGGCTTGGGAGTGCAAATAGTGGAGGCGCGTGGGAAAGGGGATATATCTTGAATCGCGCTCTACCACGATTGAAGGTAATGAAGCTTTCCTGTCTCAGCTGGAGTGCCATTTCTTTCATCTTTATGGTGATCGGCCTGGCAAAGCCCTGATCTACACCTCAGGATACACGTCCGTCCGCCTCAGCAGCGGCATCTCTCTCCGAATCCTCGTCAAGACCTCCAAATCCACCTCCGCAGTCGCAAGGTCCGGCTCCGGCCGGTAACCCTGCTTCCCTTCCGTGGCATCGACGCCGCCCAGCTTAGCCAGCACCTCTCCCCAAGGCGACACGATCATGCTGTGACCGTAGCTACAGCGCTTCTCGTTGTGGAAGCCCGCCTGCGCGGCCGCCACGACGTACGCCTGCGTCTCGATGGCGCGGGCACGCAGCAGCGCCGACCAGTGTGCGCGGCCCGTCGGCACGGTGAAGGCGGAAGGATACGTGATGATCTGCGCATTTTGGCGCTTGAGCGCAAGGCTGATTTCAGGGAAGCGGAGCTGTGTTGTTCAATGGGCTAGTGGTAAGCTACTGCGGAGCTGTGGGAATAGATAAGGAAGAGGCAAAGAAAATGCTATACGTACGTCAAAGCAGATGGTTGCTCCCACCCTGCCTACGGGCGTCTCGAACGGCGGCAGAATCTCTGTCCCCGGCTGCACACTCCTAGGCGCCGCGTCAGCAACAAGATTACTTGCCACGGTAGCATACTCACTCGCTCTCCTTCAAAATCGGTCCGCCATCAATTTCGACATCAAACAAGTGCAGCTTCTGATAGCGGTGGCCAACGACGCCGTCCTCGTCGATCCACACCACTGTGTTCTTGAGTCTATTCTTCTGCTTCTCTCCCTGGCTGCCTTGCTCCTCGGCGGGCTCGTGTATTCCGACGTGGATGGGGAGCTTGTGGGCGCGGGCAGCTTCTTGCAATCCGAGGACGAACGGGGATGTCGTGATGGGCTTTGCCAACGCTATGGATTCGGCGGGCGATGAGGCGATGTAGTCTGACGCTTCGGGCAAGAAGAGCGCCTGGTGGAATTGGCAATTGATCAAAAATATCGGATTGAGGCTGTTTGTGGGGTCGGACGACATGTCGACGTGGGGAATGGTGTATGTACCTTAGCTCCAAGCGATGCTGCTTTGGCGACGAGGGTGCGGCATTGGTTGAGATTGTGCACCATGCTCGTCATGGAGCATATTTGACCGACTGCCTGGAGATGTTGTCAGAAATGCACTGGGTTACGAATGAGTTCAATAATGCCGCTTTGCTCCACGTGTTCCAGGTTGAGCAAGATTCGACTTTGGATGGAACTTGGAGCGTGAAAACTTCCGTCCCACTCTCCAGACTGCAGCGAAGGCTCCGGCGTTGGATCATGCTCAACCCTCAGAGCCTGGTATGACTTCGACGCCGAGCCCTGGGAGACATTATCGATCGATCGAAATCAAAGACAACGGAGGGAAGATAGGCAAGACCCAGAAGAACATCTGAGGAGATACAGAACACGCACTCACCACCAGCACCATCTTGACTTCAAACGGCGAGACTTGAGACTCTCAATAAACCAACAAACGTCTTCAGGAATCGAAGAATGCGATCCCCGGTTCTGATGCATCCAACTCTTTAGGAAGATATTGTCGGGAGCAAACGCGCAATTCGTTGCGGAGAAAAGTGGGATGTCGTCGTTAGCCAACACGCGGAAGCAACACACGTCGCTTCTTCCCTAGTATAGCACGCCACCTCCCCCTAGACAAGCCTTCAGCCCGACAAGCAAAAGGTGTCAAAAAGAAGAAGCCAAGCTCCCTTGACGCCAGGATGGCAAAGAACTCTTCCCAAGGGCAAAAGAAAAAGATGAATGGTCACTACGAGGGTCGAACTCGCGACCTTGGCGTTAACTGAAAGACACTACTCGAGCGCCACCAATATTAGCACCACGCTCTAACCAACTGAGCTAAGCGACCCGCTGGAATTAAAATTTCACTGCCTTAATCACCATATGTTATCAAATAACATTCACATGACTCGGGACAGTCTCCGATTGGACGTCAGCATCACCGAAATTGACCTGAGATGAACTATGTTGCGAAATAGTAATGAGCTCGGGAACTCCTAGAGCGATTTAGACTCTTTCGGGAAAGAAAATTGCAAGTGCTTATTGTACGCGGGCTGCATAAAAGATCAACATCTAACGTTCTGAGCTTTCCTATTTTCATATCTGTCTTTGACATCTTACAATACTAATTTTGAGAATTCAGAGGTCATCAATAGTAAAGAAAGGAAGTTTCTGACTTTTATCCTGTAGCCCCTAGTGGCCCTCTTTCCCCCACTCGTAATTGATCTTCTCGTGTTGCCTTTTGCTCAGTCTTGCTCTTCACATTATTGCCTTAATCTTTCCTTTGTATTGGCTTTCACTGCGCGAGGACCTATTACCATCCTGCTTCTCGTGTACCTCTACTAATTATATCCCTCTTTCCCTTGCTCCGTCTGCCCCTTTACTTCTACTTCTTTCCTTCAGTCCCCTCCTTCGTTTGTCCTTTCACTTCTACTTCTTTCCTTCAGTCCCCTCCTTCGTTTGCCTTTTCACTTCTACTTCTTTCTCTACATTCTGGTGCTCTCCCTCTTCCGCTTCCTTCTCCTCACTCTTTCCCTCATTCTTCTCCTCCGTTTGCCCTTCCACTTCCACTTCTTCCCCTGCGTTCTTGTGCTCAACCTCTTCCGTTTTCTCCCCCTCTTGACTCTCCTCTTCCATCTTCTTCATCTTCTTAAAGACCTCCAATTCAGCATTGTACAGCTTCAAGTCTTCTAGCTTCTTCTCAACCAAAAGCTCCATTTCACGACGCGTTTCTTCACCAAGGAGCTTCTCTCTCTCAAGCTCAGATGCTCTAGTCCCACGAAAGTGTTCATCCAAGCAGTCCCAGTAGATCTGATCAAAATCATTCGAGTTCCTCACTCCCTGGACAAACCAAAAAGTCCCATCATCCCAGGACTGCTTCATCAGTTCTGAAAGGCGAGGTCGAGGTGGTAGCTTATAATCTGCAAATGCAGCATTCCCATCGTCGTCATTAGCGATTGCAGCTTCGTCCTCGAGCTCACGTAAGACCTTCAAAAGGAGCTCGAACTTGGGGCGATACGTATCCACAAAGTTTGTCTTCCCATGGTCCCAAATCTAGTCACCAGGCTTGAAGACCAGCAGCCACGGGGGACTGCATGTGTACTGGTACGGTGCTGCGTACGAAAATTCACAGTCCAGCACCGCGATGATGTTGAAGTCGTCGTCGACGAGGACGTTCCCCGGAGACAGGTCGTCGCAGAAGAGGGCCGCCGTAGGGAGGCTCGGAGGAGCAGTAAACTTTGGTAGAACCGACTCACGGAAGAGGTGGCGAGCAAGAAATTTCTCTTTGCAGTCCTCGGCGCATAGGTCCATATAATCTCGGGTATCATCCTTTCTGCTCATGAAGTCGGCCGCGTTGCGCTGTGCTAGAAGCTGGAGCATTCGTTCATCCACCAAGGCGGCAAAGTACTTGTCGGCCATGTCGAAGGACCCCTGCACCAGAAGATCTGGCGGCATGCCGCAGCAACGGACTGTTTCATTCATGCAGTGCGTGACTGGTCGTCGATGCTCGACATTCCAACCAGCGCGTCCGTCGCTGAAAGTTTTCTCAATCGACCCAATGCGATCGAACACACATCGCGAGAGCTCGAGTGTTATTATTGCCATGGCGCGGTAAGCTTTCACCAGAACCTCCTCCGACAAACCCAAGTTCAATGCCGACGCGCGATCCGCAGGATTCTCTCTCAGCAGGTCAATCAGACGCGTGCCGCCCCGTATGAAAGTCGTAATCATATAAGGACCGATACCGTGAGGGCTTTGATCGGTGAGAGAATATGTTATGACCTCTGGAACAGGGAGTGACGTCCTTTCTCGGAGATACTCCATGATGGCGATCTCGTTGAGCATTTTCTCATCAGGGAACATGACCATGTCCATGTTGGGAAAGCGCGCCAGCCAGGGCTCTCCACCCTCGACAAACTCCATCACGAGTCCAAAGTTGAATGAGCCGCCGACAAGCTTGGTGATATTGGCGGGTTCGCTGCTGCCTCGTATTCGCCCAACTTCTTCGCGAACCCACTGTTGATTTTTGATGAGGTTGTCGCCGAAACGGAGCCCATTCTTCTTGTACACGTCCTCGGTAATTTTGTCGTCGTTCATGGCGAATGTTGGGGAGCTCTGACAGCTTCTGAAGGGAAACGCTTTTAACGGGCGAAGCAGACGCAAAGCAGACTCGGCAACAAAAGCGCAGTGCAAGCGCGCAATGTTGCAGAAAGAAGGACCAGCTTTATACCCTTGTCACCCTTGCTTCTCCCGCGACAGGGATCCACACTTGAGCTCTATGCCTGTTTTGTGTTTGCGGCGAAGCAGTGGACGCCCTTGTGTAACGCGCAAACCGACACTCCCATAGAAAGTCTCTACACAGGCGACAGCAAGAATGGGAGGTATGTTGGTCTTTCATTTTAGCACCGGGCAGTGTGTGCGGCCCTCGAGGCTTTGAATATCCAGTTCGTTGACGTGTGCCCTTCATGCATGTAAGTTAAACTGAACTGCATAGATAGAGGATAGCCACACAAAGCTTTCAAAAGCTTGAACGAGGCTCCAAATTCTGAAATCTGGCGGGAAGATGGAGCACCCTCGTGCCTTTACGCAGACACAAGTTGAACCGGGTTTCCCAATTTCTTCACGGAACTGACATACTCAGACTTATAGCTACGCAAAGTGGATGAACAGATGTCGCGCTTATGGAAGTGTGAAACGAGACACCTTTGCTTCTCCACCTCTGCCGGATGTACCGCAACTTTCCTGATAAAACTTCTGATAGTATTAATAGAGATCACGAAGTCAAATCATAGATATCAATGGAGAGTGAGGGTGGGGAGCAAAGTCATGATAAGTCCCAGCATACATTACTTTGGAGTTCCATGAAATGAGGCGTAGATTTTCACTATTTGCACACCTGATGACTCGAATGCTCCTGGACAGCTTGGATTTTGGTCGACTGCATATGAAAATTCTCTCAGAGTAGTTGCGCTTGAATGAGACGAACACTCCTTGAGAGGAATCGGAGTTGCTGTATAAATGCTCATAGTATGCCCACATTAGAGGATTACAAACGTTATGAGAGGCTGCCTGCGAAGTTTATCGAACGCTTCCAGAGTGTCTGCTGAACAAGAGTATGATATCTTCCTAGGAAAATGGTGTACTTTCGGTGGACAGCTGGCGAAGGACATGATCGAGGAGATGTCATAGTACAGCGTGAATTCTTCTTGGGTGACAGCTACGAGAACATGAATCCTCCCAGACGAGCTTCATGCAACTGACGATGGAATCCCCCCATCTAGTCAGCCTGCTTCACCATGAATTCCAGATGAGACGAACAAGAATACGACAAAAAACAAAGGGCAACGAAAAACCCGTCGACGAGCTGCGCTCCCGGCAACCTCGCCAAACGAAACTTGACACACACCTGACGTCAAGGAGAAGCCATCCATGTGCTCACAAGGTACTCCTGTCAATCGCCGCCCGCCGGCGTCTGCGCGCGCCGCCCCGTCGACACGCAGCGGAAACGGCTAGCTAGCTAGCTGAGCTAGCCAGCAGAAGCGGGAACCAAGAAAAGAAGGAGAAAAGTATCCGAGAGCGAGCCACACGCACTAGCTAGCTTCCAGGTAGCCAGGCACCATGTGCGGCTGATCGGTGCTGGGTCCGGCCTAACGCAAAGCTTGCCCTTTCTATCTCTACTTACCGCGTGCGTGCACACACACACTTGCTAGTAGCAACCGACCCATCCGTCTGGTAGACTAGCCAAGACAAACGGGGAAAAGAAGAAGAAGAGATGTTCGCTCTCATTGGATGGAGAGCAAATTCAAGAGATAACGAGCCATCCTTTCTGTCCTGCGCTCAAAGCATGTGAGGACTTATCCCGCGCAACGCGTGAGCTTTGTGACGTAGGGAGATAGGAAGCTTGTGATGGACTGACGCAAGACAAGACTTGACAGACTCCAACGTCGAAGCCAAAAAGAAACAGGGGGTCACTGAGGGGGGGGGGGGGGGGGGGGGGGGGGAAGAAAGAGAGAGGGAAAAAAAGGCGCAAAAGAGCTACTCCACCAGAAAAGTTCCATCATCGTGGCTACGCCACCTTGTGCCAAGCTCCAAACGTCTCGCCGTCCCGCTGCAGCGAGCTCTAGACGCAGACCCAGATTCCAGACTGTGGCCAGGACCCGGACCTAGGGCCGACGACTAGGACTAGACGATGACGACGACGATCCAGGAGACAGGGAAGGGGGCGCGAAAGGATGATGGGGAAACAGCGAGAATTCGATTCGAAGATCTGCGACCACGCTTCTCGCATTTCCCCATCCCCCCTTGTTCCTCCTGAACATGCCGCCGCCGCTGCTGCAAAGGACAAACCAAAACAACTTCTCAAACGAGGGTGCGTCCCATGTGAGCGCCACATTGAGAGACCCCTCGCCCTTCTTTGCACGCGTGTGCCTGTCTCAGATGATGCCAAAAATACCCTATACCTCTTTATTTCGCTCTTTACCCTGCCGCGGCAACACACAGGGGAGAAACACGGCGACGGGAGAGCGACTGAGGAAGCGCTGTCGCCCTTTCGCCACATACAGGCAGCAGATCGATTCATCGTCAGGTGGGCTGAAGGAATCGTCAATGCGCGCTAGTTGTTGGCTGTCGCCACACTTTGTTCCCCCTTCGTAGGCGGGTCGAGCTGAAGGAGAAGGACAGAGACAGCAGGGCGGAAAAAGGAGGCCACGGGGCCAGCAGCAGCAGCGGCGGACTCTGCCGTACGCGTCCTGCAGGCGAGAGTCGGACAGGCCAGCTTCTCAGGCCAGGCTGGGCCAGGCTCAACGAGTGCAGTAGTCCTGTGCTGTGTGCTGTGTGCCGTGTGTGTTG